CTGGCATGTGGTGCTGGGGGGTTGAACCGCGGTCCCTGTGCTTTGCTAAGCTTGTTCTAAGTAGGTGCTTTAGACCACTGAGCCATCTCACCAGCCCTGCTAACTGGAGTTCTTTATGCCTCACTAACTATATGTCAGATTCTTTCCCAATACTTGGAAAATTTTCTGCTAGTATGTCTGCAAATAGTCTCTTCATATCATTTGTGCTAATTCTGGCTGTTTCCTTGACACATACTAATCTTATATTGTTTATCTTTGCATCATCTTATAGCTGCTGAATTATTTCCTGGCTCTTTGTTATTTTTAAGGGATCTTTCCTTTCACTTCGCTGGCTGCAATTCTGTCTTCAAGTTCTGAAATTCTTTCTTCAATTTCATTCAAGTGGTTTTTCCAACTTTCAGTGGAATTCTGAATTTTCTAGATAACTATTTGAATCTGTTTCATGCATTCTAATTCTTTCCTGTATTGCTCATTCAGTATGTTCATCATTTTTTGTAGTTTAAAAATATATTTAATTAACTTAAAAGGTAAAAAAATATGTATTTCAAATCTTACTGAACTTATTTATCTGAAGTATATGCTTATACACAGGACAAATAGATTTCCAATAACTTCTGGAAGTCTATTGTCCACTTAAAAATACTTTCCCACAAAAACTCTTCATTGAAAGAAATATTTTTCTTTTATACTGCATAAAAGTTAGATGCAAATTTCCACTGTGTTCTACTTTGATGGACTCATTTTACAGTCAACTCTGATAATGAAGACAGCACAAATATGTAGTTCAGGTGACTAATGCAAAAGAAAAGTGACGAAGATGCCTTCACTGCGTCCCTACAGAGGAGTCACACCCTTGATACAAACAGGCAATCACTTCTTCTTCTCCTTCTTCTTCCTTTTTCCTTTCTTAATTCCCTCTCCTTGCTAAAGATTTGGGTAACCACCTCCTGTTTTCTGTGCCCTGGTTTTTAGCTTAGGTATCATTTCTGCTGCATATAACATTAAAGACTTATGTGATGGGAACTGCCCCCAGACAGAGGCAGCCATCTTCCTGCTTCAGCTGGACTCAGACTCTGCCTCTGTACTGACCATCATGATTCCATTCCCTAGAGTACATCTTATTTTTCTCAGTGACTCCATTAAATCCAGCTGCTGAGCATTCATCTTGAATCTAGGTAACTGTAGGATTTTCAACAGCCTTACTTTTTGGGATCCACCTCCCCTCTGCAATGGTTTTCTTATTATTTAAGTAAGCAGGGTAGATGCAAATAAAACTGTCTTGGTCAGCCAGGGAGTGAGTGGTGGCACAAGCCATATCTACACAGCCTCAGACCACACCCCATCATTTTTTATTCTCTATTCTTTTTTTTTAATCTATGCCTTGTTTAGATATGTGGAGCAATTCTTTCATGATTTTTGTCATTTATTTATTTTTTACCTGAGAAATTATTTCTGATCTGATTTCTTTTTTTTTTTCTATAGACTGATGCAGTTGTTTCTTTACTTCAATTGCTATGATTTCAGAAATTTCAGATGTGTGACTTACAAATTCTTCTATGTCCTTGTCTCCTGGATTTGTTCTTGGTGGGCTGGAGGTCTGAGATTACCTTTTGCTCCTTTGTTTTGACATTTTTGAAGTTCCCAGTGTTCACTGAGACTCAGCAGTCATGGGAGGGGAGCAGGGTGCAGTTATGTAACCCTGAGATAGTGGGGTCAGGGTAGGCTCACCAAAGTTCCCACTGTGTGGGGTTCAGCATGGCTCTGCCACAGTGAAGGGAGGGCCAGCTGCCACTCAGGAAGGCTCCAAGGTTGATGAGGACAGGCCAAAGCCCTGTAAGGTTGTCATGATGGTGGGAGGGTGGGCAGAGTAGGGCTCACCAATGTTCGCGCAACTGGTGGGGGGGTGAAGCTCAGCAAAGTCCCCAAGAGAGTAGTGAGGGCAGGGCAGGCCTCACCAGGTCGCCATAGCTGTCTTGTGGTAGACTGCTTTCTGCGGTGGTGGGATAGGCTGCCCAGCTTTTCCTTCCTAGTTTCTTAAATATGAGGTTTTTTATTTCCCCTTTTTGACGAAGTTGGCTAATAGTTTATCAATTTTATTTATATTTCAAAGAACTAGATTTTTGATTTATTGATTCTTTGTATTGTCTTCTTAGTCTCTATTGCATCAATTTCTGTTCTTTACAATTTCCTCTCTCGTATGAGCTTTTTTATTTCTTTTTCTTTTTCTAGAAGTCTAAGGTTGTATATTAGGTTACTTGAGCTCTTTCTATTTTCTTGATGTGTGAGTTCATTGCTGTAAGTCTCCCTCATAGGACTGCTTTCATTGTATCCCATAAGTTTTGGTATGTTATATCAGCATTATCATTTCATGTATATGCAAATTAACTTCATCTTTACTATTCTTCATGACCTGTGGGTTGTTCAGAAAGTATTGTTTAATTCCCAAATGTTAATGTAGTTTTGTGGTTTTCTTTGTCATTGATTTCCAGCTTTATTGTGCTGTGTTCAGATAGTATTCATAGGATAGTTTAAATTCCTTCATGTTTACTTAAACATATTTTATTGCCTAATATATGATCAATCTTGGAGAGCATCCTGTGTGCAGCTGAGAAAGTGTATTCTACTGTTTGGGGGTAGAACACTGTGTAGTCCATTTTTTCACAGGCTTGGTTTAATTATAATATTTCTTTGTTAATAATTTATCTAGTTGATCTGTCCATATGTGAGAGTGCGGTATTAACATCCACCACTACAAATGTGTTAGTGCTTATTTGGTTTTTTATTTGTTTTTTGTAGTTGACTTAACCTGTGTTTTTTATATAAATATTTCTGATCTTTATCTCTTCTCAGAATTTTCCCTTAAAAAATTTGTATTGACCTTTTTTTGATCAGTTTTGGCTTAAAGTTTGTACTGTCTGCAAATAGCATAGCTACCCCTACATTTTTCTGAGTTCCTGTGAAGTGTTTTCTGTTCTTTAACTTTTAGTCTATTAATTTCTTCTGGGATTAAATGTGTTTCTAGAATGCAGCATATTGTTGACTCTTGCTTCTTAATCCATTCTTCCAGCCTATTTCTTTTGGTTGTCAAGCTGATGCCATTTACATTGATGATCATAACTGATATGTATTCGCTTTCCTTTTTCATGTTGCTTCCATATTGTTTATTCCCTGTCCTACTGCTCTGTTTAATTCCTTGTCCTGCTTGGCAGTTCTTTTCTGTTGCTGTTCCTGTGTTTATGGTCTTTGTTATCTTTTTTAAATATGTTTTTCAGAGCATTCTGTAGAGCTGGTTTGATGGTCATAAATGTCTTCAGTTGTTCTATATCATGGAAGGTTCTTTTTGCTTTATAAATTTTGAAATACAGTTTTGCTGAGTACGTCAATCTGGGTTGAAGATTGTTTTCCTTTAGGACTTGAGATACTTCACTCCAAGCTCTTCTTTATTTTAGGGTTTGAGTTGAGAAATCTGCTGTGATTCTGATGGGCTTTGCTTTATAGGTGATATGTTTCTTTTCTCTAGATGCTTTTCATATTCTCTTCTTGTGTTAAATTTCTGGAATCTTGATTATTATCTATCTTGGTATGGATTTATTTTGGTTGTGTCTAGTTGGAGTTCTATATGCTTCATTTATTTGTATGTCAAATTCTTTATCTATGTTTGGGAAGTTTTTTGCCCTTGTTTCTGTGAAGAATTTTTTAAAGGTTTTTACACTGTCTCCAGTTTTCTCACTGATTCTAGTCAATTTTATTTTGTTCTTTGCTTCGTCCTATAGCAGTTGGATTGATTTTTCATGGTGTCTTGCCATTTTTAAGATATCTTTGTTTTCTGGTCAATAGTTGTGCTCCTGTCTTCTAGGCCTGATATTCTATCCTCACCTTCATTCAATCTTCTGTGTAGACTTTCAGTAGTTTCTAATCTCCCACATTTCTGTTTCAATCTGTTTCATTGATTCCATTTCTTGTCTATGTTTGCATTCATGGCTTCCACAATTTTCCTGAGCTCTTCTATTTTCTTTAAATCTGTGTCTGCTTTTATGTCTTTTATTTTGATAGTGACTTCTTTTTGCACCATAAAGACTATTTTTTCTATGGCTTCTTCCATTTATTTTTTCAATCTTTGCTGCTCATTTTAAAAAGTTCCATTTGTTGGCCTCCAATTTCCTCTATCTCTTTGTGTTCTGAACTTGTCCTGGGTGGGCTGAGTGTTTGGGATTGCATTTTGCTCCTTCTTGTTATTGTCATTTTCTATTTTATTTTGTTTTCAGTGTTTATGCCATTAGCTTTTACAATAGCCTTAATCATTGATGTTGAAGCGTTCCTAGGAGGTGCTTATTCCTCTGGATGTCTCCTCTTACTGGCAGTGCCATCTCAGGGAAATGGAGGAAGGGAGGAGTGTGAACTTACACTCTTCTCATTGACACTGCCCTTGCTCTTCTCACTGGCACCACATCATGGCAACAATGAAGGAGGTACAGAATATTGGCTTTCTGTTCTCCCACTGACTCCTCATGGCTGGGTTTTAACTTACCAACTTCAGCGATGTACTATAATTTTTTAACCTTATTTTGAGTTTTCAAATTAGGCAAGAATGTTTTCCCAATATCTTTGCAGACTGGTCCGATTATATGG